GGGGGGGGGGGGGGGGGTACGGAGGTGCGAGGGGCAAAAATGACAGACAGCCAAAAAAAATATCGTTTTGCGATAATGTCCCTAAGCGCGCGTAACCGTTCGCCAATATTTTTATAATTTCACTTCACAATTATCGTACCGCGATTAATAATACTCGTCCGATTGTTCATTATAAACGTAAACCGACCGATTGCCGGGGGGATCCGTCTATCGTCTCCCTTATAACCGCCGCCGGCTGTATACGCCGATTATTCGGCGGCGTGGCCGGGAACGGTCTTGTATATCTTGTTCGGTCCGTCTTACGTGGAAATATACGGCAAGTCGACACTTTCGCGGGGGCCCGTAGAGCAGTGACGAGAGGTCACGGGGTGAATGATTACAAGGTCGGGAAACGCTGAACCAGACTGTGCGGGAATCGTATCGATTTAAAAGTCGGATCCTAAAAAAAAAATTAAAAAAAAAAAATATATCCAATTTCTAATCGACGCATTTATATTATGTATTTGCACGCATTTCGATATCGGATTATCAATATTGATGTATTGATATATTTTATGCCGACGGGGAGGGATAAAACCCCTGACCACCTACTGCGCACGTCACTGTTTACATATTTCGCAATCCGTCCCGCCTGCGACGGTATAGCCTACCCGCGAGCGGCGATTTTTTTCGAACGTCCCCTTTCTAATGAATTATTTCTTTCGAAACGGTACTATTATTTTTTTATGCAAACAACAATCGGCGCGTTGGTAAAAAAAATAAAAAGGTCGATTTTTCGATATTCCGCGTAGTTTGTTCTTAGTAGTGTTGTGGAAAAACGGTATTATTCACACGGAACAACGACCGCGGTTTCTGTTATTTTTGGAATTTTTCTCCCGGTCGTAATTCACTGAAAAATACGAGGAGACCGGGAATTCACACCGAGTACCGTCTCGTAGCGTTTCCCGTCCGACCGCACTCGGCGTGTATACTTTTTGCCTATATTTTCGCCTGCCGTCACCGGGGCGGTGGACTACGCGAATTCCGTAAATACGACGGCGCAGTGCGATCTGTAGACGCCGCGGCACGGGGTGAATAGGAAAAAAAAACCCCGTGCGCATATCGGTATTGTTTTTTTTTCCATTTTTTTTTTTTTTTTTAGCAGAGTCTAAAAAATTATTATACACCTATATGTGACGGCGCGATGACTTACGGACCGTGACAAAACCGCGTGCCGCGGTATATACTAATTTCGTGTCTAATGATACGAATATTCGGGGGGGGGAGGGTCGGTTCTCTCACGATTATAAATCAACGAGCGGTTTTCGGTTCACTTTATATACGTATAATAATATCATTTTTTTTTTTTTTTTTTGAACGGCGTATAAATTATTATAGTGTTCGTCGTCGTCGTTGTCGTCGTCACCTGGTGCAGTATTACCTACATACATATAATACTCGGGAGTATGTTCTTCAGGTGGTTGTGCAGTCCGTTTCGCGGGCACGGGTCTCGGAGGAAGAATGAAAAAAGACGTGATCTGGAGGAGGGGGGGAGGTCGAGAAACCACCCGGGACCGCGCGTAATAGTTCGAAATAACGAACACCGTCTGTTCCATTGTTGCGCCGAGCCCGTGCATATTGTCCGTAATATATTACGGACCCTGTATAGTACGCCGCCGCCGCCTCCCCGACCGAGAAAATCCGATCTTCTAATGGGCCGACGGTTCCTTTTTATTTTTATTTTTTATTTTTTTTTTTTTTTTTTTTTTAAGTTCGTCTCCGCGTATATATGTATATGCACGAATACGTATAAAACGACGAATAATACCTCACGATACGATAATAATATATAGACGTCAGTATGTATGCGCGTACTCGGATAAAAGGACGGCGTGTCGGTCAAGACTCTCGGGCGCGGAGG